AAGCATAATGTACCAGCTCACCATCATTATCTATTACATCATCTGATGTAATCACACAATCTTGCAATCTTGCAGGCATGCGTCTTGTTCTTTGAGGTCTGCTTGTACTTGGTATATCTGCTGGTTCCTCTTGTCGAACTTCTCTTTCGACTTGATTTTCTGGCTCTTCGAATAGGATTCCCACTGAATCTTTCTTGACATTTGCAGTCCAATCCCATTCTTTAAACTCATCTATGATCACGTCCCTACTGATCACAATCTTCTTGTTCTCTGGATCGAACAACTTGTAGCCTCCTGTCGAATGATATCTAACTAGGATCATTTGACTTGACTTGTCATCAAGTTTTCTTCTCAACTGATCTGGCACATGTCTATGTGCAATAGATCCAAATACCTTCAGATGACTCAAGCTAGGCTTCACACCAGACCAATATTCTTCTGGAGTAATTCCTTCTAGCTTCTTTGTAGGACATCTGTTCAAAATGTATGTTGCAGTCGAAACAACTTCACCCCAAAACTCTTTAGGTAAACTCTTGCCTTTCAACATACTTCTCACCATATTCATGATGGTTCGATTTTTCCTTTCTGCAATTCCATTTTGTTGTGGAGTATAGGGTGGCACCACCTCATGCACAATCCCTTCCTTTTCACATAATCTATCGAAGTCTTTTGACACATGTTCTCCACCACCATCAGTTCTCAAAACTTTGAGCTTTCGACCACTTTGTCTTTCGACCATAGACTTAAACCTGGTAAATACTTCGATCACTTCACTTTTCTTCTTGATCAGGTAAGTCCATAGCTTTCGACTGAAATCATCTATGAATGTAACAAAGTATTTGTTACCTCCCATCGAATCCACCTGGATTGGTCCACATACATCAGAGTATATGACTTCAAGACTAGCCTTCGATCTGCTTCCTGCATCCTTGCTGAAGCTATTCTTGTGTTGTTTCGCCTGCACACATTCCTCACATACCTCGTTTGGAATGTCAATTTTTGGCAATCCTGAAACCATATTTCTTCTCTTCAAATCTCTGATGTCTCTGAAGTTGAGATGGCCTAGTCTATAATGCCATATCCATTCATCTCTGCTAGCTGCAGTCGAAAGGCACTTGTGCTCCATCACATTTAGTTCAATCTTGAAGGTTCGATTCTGAGACATAGGAGCCTTCAAGATTACTCTCCCATTTGCATCAACGCCTCTCATCAACTTATCTTCGATTGACACTTTATAATTGTTTTCGACCAACTGCCATATACTGAGCAAATTGCTCTTCATGCCTGGTATGTACAACACATTGGAGATTACTGATCTTTTGCCATCTTTCCTCATAATCATAACATCACCAATACCTTCAGCTGCCAGGGTATTGTCATTTGCAAATTTTACCATGTTTTTATTTGAGGGCTTTATATTGACAAACCAATCTTTCCTTCCAGACATATGTGATGAACATCCTGAATCCAAGTACCATTGGTCCTTGAATCTATCTTCATCTCTTGTTGTGACCATCAGCATCATCTCTTCTTCTTCATGTTCTGCAAGCTTTGCATCACTTTCTTGATTCTTTCGTTTTTCTGGACAATCACTCGAATAGTGTCCATATTTCTGACAATTGTAACATTGAATGTGACTCTTATCAGGTTTTCGACCACCACCTCTTCCTCTATTTGCAACACCACCTCTTTGGTTGCCTTGGTATGGTCTTCTTTGATTCGACACGTCTCCTTAGATTTGGTTTCCTCTACCATTCGATTTGTTGTAGCCACCTCTACCTCTGTCGAAACACTTTCCTTTGCCTTTGGTCTCTTTTGCTGAATGTGCCTGCAAGGCCACATCACTCTTCGATTTTCCTGTAGCTCTTTCGTTCATTCTTTGTTCATGAGATTCAAGCGTCCCTTGAAGCTCTTCCTTTGTCAATTTCGACAAGTCTTTCCCCTCTTCTATAGCCACCACTATGTGGTCGAACTTAGGAGCTAAAGATCTCAAGATCTTCGACACAACAGCTCTTGTTGTTAACGTTTCTCCACATATCTTGATTTGATTTACTAGTTTTGTAACTCTAGTGAAGAAATCAGATATATTTTCACTGTCTTCCATCTGAAGCAGTTCATAGGTCCTTTTGTGAGTTTGTAACCTCACTTCTTTCACCTTCCCAGTGCCTCCAAAAGACTTCTCAAGGATCTCCCAAGCTTCTTTTGCAGATTCTGAATCACTAAACTTTTCGAAATTGTCTGGGCTGACACATTGATGAATTATAAATAATGCTTTATAACTCAGCTTCTCAGATTCTGTGTATTTCTTCTTTTCTTCTTCTGAAGCGTTTTTGCCAAGCGCTTCGACTCCATCTTTTAGAAGGTCCCAAAGACCTTGACACCTGAATAAGACTTTAATCTGTTTGCACCAATTCTCATAGTTGTCAACTTTCAGAATTGGTAGCGTTGCTGGATAGTTTGCATTCCCATAACTTGTCATCGTGAATTCTTCAATCGTTCTTGATTGACACTTCCCTTGAATCGAAACAAAAGCTCTTGATACCAGATGTTGGAAATCCACCAAATTCTATGATGAATTTATACCACAATGACAATTTAATTATGAGACAAACAAAGAAAAGAAGATAAGACAAATATTTCTGCAGAGTTTCTCTCTGCCCACAAACTGTGGAAAACTTTCTTAATCACTTGCAACTGCAAATTCTGTGATTACAATGAATTGACTTACTTGACTCTTTTTTTTTGAAAAATAGGGGTTACTCCCTCTATTTATAACTGAGCTTACACCCTAAGCCAAAAGCCCAAAATATCTTTTTGTTACTAAATCAAATCAAATCAAATCTATTATGGACTTAAATCAAATCTATTTAAATCTAAAATAAATCAAATCTTCTTTGACACTATGAATTACAATTTAACACGGAGAACAATAATCCAAAAAAGATTAGCGATAATTACGCTTTACTTCCATTTTGGTATAATTCATACTATATTTCTTAACCATTACAATTAATACAACAAAAATACTACTATCATTATAACCTCATGCAATTTCACTACACTCGATGAAAAGAATGAGGTAATGTATGTACTATATTGCATATGTTTATCTGATTATATAATGCAACTTGTAAAGAAATATTTAAGGGTTAGAGGTGGAAGGAGTCTTGGAGAAAAATGGGAAGAAAGAGAAAAAGGAAGGGAGTGATTTAGGAGTATCGGAAACTGTTGCAGGAGTTGGAGCGGACACTGGTGTAACATCGATAGTTGGGTCAGTCGAAGGAAAGGGAAATGGAATGATGTGCTTCGGAAGAGATGTGATGGATGTGTGCAATGGTGGAAGACTTCCTTTAGGCAATGATGGAATTACATCCAAATCTGGAAAAGATGGTTTTGGTAAAGTTGGAATGGTAGTATGTGGAAGTGTGGTTGTTTGCAGAAGATGACGAGCTTCAATGTTCATGCTTGTCATTGTCACAACAACAAGTAAAGCAAAAATGAAGGATTTGGAGAAAGCCATTATTGTTGATAATTTGATGAGTAATTTTTTTTTATTTTTACCACCATTACCCGATCCACTAGACCTCCTAATATGAATCGGGATGAGTTTTGTTGAGGGAAATTGGTTTGGAATTTAATGATAAGGAAATGGATGATTGATGGTCTTATATAGAGTGAGAGAGATTATTTTAACTTTTTATGTTTTATTTTGCTAAAAGCATTTTGTGGTTAGATTTGTGGGATAATTATAGGAATTTTTATATTTAATTACGGCCTTCAATGCATTCTTAACCATGAAAGTTGATTTTTTGTGTAACTATTTAAACTATTAATCAATTAGTGCATTTTAATCCAACAAAACGAATGCACCCGAAGAAACCTTCTATAGCCGCATAAAACAATAGATAATTGCCTACAATATATATATATATATATATATATATATATATATATATATATATATATATATATATATATATATATATATATATATATATATATATATATATATAATTCTATTTTAATTAATTTAGTTAATAAAATTTAATAATAGTTTTATTTTATCAAATTTGTTCAATGAAATATTGAGTCAATTCAAGTTGACTTGTAGAAGACACGTAGAAGTGAAGTAATTTAAATAGTTTTGAATTTTCCATGTATTAGTTCTAACCAAATCAAACATGATATCTATTTGTTTAGATAATTTCTTTATTAATATCATTTTAGCATGCTCATTATATGTAAAGAGAAGTAATAAAAATTACAGAAAAGAAAGGCGGGTAAATGAGAATGAAAAATCAAATCTCATAAAATCTACATCTATAACTTTGGAAGACATAATATTGCTATATATGAGTTTTTAGACTCTTTTTAAAAGGTCGACAGTCTTTAGGGTTAGGAAGACAAAAATTTCAAAAACAATGATATCAAATTTTGTTGATCATCATAACACGTTTTCTCATATTTTACTTGAATCAACTTTGAGGATTGTTTGCCTTAGATTAAAACATTTGTTCCTTAGTCCAACAAGGTGTGAAACCTCATTTAAGTACATATATGCATATTTCTCTCCTACCATACACTAGAATATATGTTATTCATAATGTAATCTTCCATCGCATGGGCCGAACAAGAAATTCATAAGAAATTATTTTTTGACTAATACCTCTGTTTTCTGAAATATATAAAAGGGAATTCCTAACAAATTCTTATAGGATTTGAAGCTTGAAAGCTCCCTACAATAATCGATGTGTTCCCCCAAAGATTTCCAAACATGCCTTACCATAAAAATTGCAAAGCTAATCAGTAGGAAATAAGGTAATCAATAGAAATAGAAGTAGTTAGGAGAAAATCTTAATCATTTGGTGTTTGCAAACACTCAGGAATAGCTTTTACTTAA